AATTTACTATATGTACATATTGATCACTGATAAGAGCATCGCATTTTGATCACTGGGTGATTTATTGGTTTATTTTTCATTATTTCACATTTTTCCTCTTTTCTCACTCTTGATTTATAAAACTTGTACACCCAAGAGAATCTTGTTCTCTTGATAAGTCTTTTCTGTTGCTATTCACGACAAATTAATAAGATAAAGATTCTGGATATTGAATTTGCATATTGCAGTTCCTTTTATGCCTGTAACTTTGTGAATACGAGGATGGGTTGAAAAATTAGCATGAAGAACACAAATGAACTACTTTCTTGGTAAAAGAAATCTGCTTCGAAGCATCATGCCATCTCAACATTCATGAGGAGGCGTTTTACAAAGGCCTGCAATCAAAGCAGGCCTTTATGAATATGGTGTACAGTACTGGAACAAGATTCTCTGGACAGATGGAGCCAAGAAGAAACCTGGACCAGAACCATCTGAGACGAAGAGTAAGGAGGATTGAAACGAGAGATTACGATCCAAGGATATAGTACATCATCTGTTTAACATGGTGAAGACTGAGAAACGCTTGGGACTTGAAAGAGCTGACAGTGGAGTTAGATGATCTGTATTTACAGATGATTTATCTGTTAGGAAAAGCATCCGAATTTATTTTCAGCTCAGATTCAAGAAAGTGGTGTAAAACTAAGAGGTTGGTTGACATCTCCTATCAAGCCCAATTTGGATAATTGTGCAAGTTTATATGTAAAACAGAATCGTATGTGGATATTGATGCTACTACAGATTGTGTCTGTGCAATCTGCAGGTGGATCTCTTAGGTCGAGGTGTCCTGTGTTCTCAGAATTGGTTTGTTGAGTGTGAGGCGAGATGCAAAACAGAGACAATAATCATCAATTTTGAATGAGAGGCACAGCGAAAAGGCTGAATGCCTGCGGTGTCTCATTGTTGAACCACTTTTAGTTGTCAATAAACTTTTAGTTAGTGACTGTACAGGATTTGCATTCAAATCATAAAAAAAAAAACTTGTTTTCATAATTATTTTAATTTATCCAATTAGTCTGGAATGCATAAAAATTGAGGCATTATGTAAAGCAAATATGTTTTCCTCAGTATTTCTGTCAGATACTACACTTAAGCTGATTGCCTAATTTAAAAATCCATTGTCCTGGTATACAAAAGCATAATTACATAAATAATTGCAAAATATTACCTCCCTGTCTTAATACCATCCTAAAAGTTATTATATTGCCTCAAAGAATAATAAGTCAATAAATGCATTTATGTGTTATGAAGCTCTGTTCTTTGGTTGCCAATCATGGCAACACTATTATATCTATAAATGTATAATTATTGTTTGTTACATATGTTTTTTTGTTGTTGTTTTTTTTTGTAATTAGGGAGACAATCGCCAACCTGATGCTTATTTGAAAATTGAAAAAGTCAGTGTGACTCATTACATCTGGATTAACAGGTTGTTTGATTTACTTGAAAGCAATGGAAACATCCAGCTAACTTCACACCAGTCTAAGACCACCTTGCGAAGGCGAGCAGCAAAAAGGACATTAACGCGTACATGTAATGAGGTTCTGGTTGTGTTAAAAAATCTGAAGTTTGACTGGACCATTCTAATATATGACTCTAAACTGAGATCTAAAATTTTCCATGGTAGTTGAGTGAACCATGCCAGTCTCAAATCTTAAAACAAATCTTCCAGTGTACCCTGTGTTTAGCCAGGTCTTTGTAGGTTTGCAGTTCTATTTTCAGAAGATGGACTGAATATGCTCCATGAGATATTCTAACTCTAGGGCATTCTCTTAAAGACTAACCTGTCCTAAACTTCTCCACAGTTTTGTCTGCAGCATTCCTTTATATCATGTGACATTGTTTATTCACTAATGTTTTCTAAGAAACCTCTGAAACCTTCCCAGATGACCTGGATTTATATTGAGACTAAATTACACATTGATTGACTGCATTTAGAAATCAGATGACTTTTGAAGATGACAAACAGCACTGAATTTTAAGGTATCAAAGTAAAGAGGGCAATAAAAATCTCAACAAAATACACAAATGTTTGTACTGAGACAAAATGTGAAAAGGGATAAGGAGTGTGAAAACCTTTGTAATTTACAGTATGTCAGGTGAAATCTGCACTTTATTTTGCTGCAACGTTTCAGGATGCTCATTAGCACATCAATCATAAGCTGTGTTTACAGGCACAATTTTGGCTAACTGTGAAATACCTAAAGCTTTGGTCCTGTTTGACCTCTTTCTTTACAGGTTTTTCAAAATGAGCGAAACCAAAGCAGAGAGAGAGATCATAGAGAGCGAAGCAGAGATGGGGAGCTCCCTTTAACTGCGAGCCAGACGGCAGCACGAGACAGAGCCATCCAACAGAAGAGGAGAGAGATAGATGAGGTGGGGGGAGAGTGTAATTACACAAACAATTCACCCACATGTCTTGGGAGAGGAATGGTTATAAAGTGATTGAGAAAGAGCAAAGATAAGAGAAGCGGGGATTAGAGGAAGAATGTCAGAGTGCAGATCTTAGGAAGCGCTAGGAGACATGAGACAGGCAACAAAAGATTTGTTTGCTGTAGTATAAACATTAATTTTGTAGTGCCGAGCCTGAGGCAACAGAAGTGTCATTACTGGCTTTTTTTTTTTCTTTTTTTTTTTTTGCCAAGCCTGGCAACGAAGGCCTTGTTCACAGTTTAACATGACTGAGAGTGTTTTTCTTTCATGCTCTTTGTTTTCAAATCGATCAAAAAGAAGCATGACAGGCTCACCTGTCTCACAAGAGACTCCGCACGTGCTTTAATGTTGCCTTCAATGTGACAGACATCACATGAGGCTGTGCTCATCAGCTCTCTGTTTATGTCAGAGACTGTACTTGTGTTTCCACCCACTTGATGGAGAAGATGCTTTGGTTCCTTTTTTTTCATATCTCCATGGTTGCAGAGATATAGAAGCACTGCAGCGATAAAATGTGAGGCTGGCGATGGATGCAGATGCAAAAATGTCCACAGTAGTTGCTGCAAAGACTATTCTTGTGAACAGACTGCAGGATTATACTTTCAGTAATAATACATGAAGAAGAGAGTTTTTTTCTTGGCAAAATAATTTAATTCATTTTTTCTCCTCTGTTTTTGTGTGTCCTCTAGCACTGGTTCCTTTGCCCTAAAGCCCTGAATATTTTTGCCTTTCAGGTTTACTACCAGGAGTGTGAAATGTTCGGCCTGGTAGCAAAGATGCTAATTGCAAAGGATCCATCCCTGGAGCGTCCCATCCAGTCGTCACTGCAGGAGAACCTCCGGGACATTGGCAAACGCTGTGTGGATGCCATGGAGAAATTTATTGAGGACTATGACTCCAGGGAACTCCAGGAACTTCTTTAGCAACAGAGATTCTCTCTCTTTTTTCTTTTTTTGACATTTTATCGGACGGGGTACATCTTTTTTTGATTTTGATATATCTTTTTTTCATGAGTAATGTTCTGACAGGTTATTATATGCTGCCTGACATGTTTTAAGTTTCCAGACTAATTCTATTAGGAAATTAAGATTTAATGCTGACCACTTTAATGTGATTGTAAAATAAATACACTGGTCATTTTGCTTGAAATGCACTAAAACTGGAGAACTGTGTCTGATGTAGTTTATTCTCACTTCTCTATTTTCATTATACTTTTATAGTTTCTTTGCAGCATTTAAGCTGTTGCACGGGGTCAAATATTTTTAGAAACTTTTTAGGTCATATCTAAAAGCGGGCAAATAGGTCAAATGGTGACCAGCATACATGCAGCTCTTAGATAAGATTCGGTGCATCTGGAAAGTATTCACAACACTTCACTTTTGCCACATTCCAAATTGCATTAAGTTAATTACTTTCCTCGAAATTTCACACAGATACCCCAACATGGTAAAAAAGTTTCAGATTTATCTAAATTTAATAAAAAAAGAAAATCAATCAAATTTACATAAGTAATCACATCTTTTACTTAATGCTTTGTTGATCCACCTTTGGCAGCAATTATAACCTCAAGTTTTTTTTTTTTCTTTTAAATATGATGCCACAAGTTTAGTACATATATCTTTAGGCAGTTTAACCCATTCTCGTCAGTACTTAATCCATCAGTTTGGATAGGAGCTGTCGGTGAAGCCATTTCTGGATCTTCCCAGAGCGGATTAATCAGCTACAAGTGTGGACTCTGGCTTGGCCTCTTCAGAACATTCACAAAGTGGTTCTGAAGCCTCTTTTTTTGAGATCTTGGTCATGTCTTTTTGGTCGTTGTCCTGCTGAAAAATGTCACCCCAGCTTGAGATCAAGAACGCACTGCAGCAGGGTTTTATCCAGAATGTCTCTGTACATTGCTGCATTCATCTTTCCCTCTATCCTGACTAGCTTATCAGTTATCCATACTATGATGCTGCCACTACCATGCTTCACTGAAGTGATGGTATTGCCCTGGTGATGAGCTGTGCCTGGTTTCCTCCTAACATGACGCCTGGCATTCATACCAAAGAGGTCAATCTTTGCGTTACCAAATTAATGTGTTGGTGCTAAATCTAAAGTTTAGAAAAACAGACTCATCAGGAGTGTGTAGACCATATACACAATCTTAGATAACTATGTTTCCAAGTATATATACATGGCAATGATCCTTTTTTAAAAGTTTTATTAGTATCATATTGGTGTTTGGTAGACACCTCATCTTAAGTGACTGGCATCAGTATCGGGGACAAAGACATTTTGATTGAGACTTTCCTTCTTGTGAGCAATTCAGTTCTATGGGATGAGTAGCTAAACATTAGGAAGAAATAAAACAAAACCACTTTATTTGTCTATAGTACAATCATAGACATTGCAGCTGCTTTCACTTGCTTTGATATTTCATGTCAAAATATCTGTTTCCATGCAGAGTGTTGTTGATTTTTGTCACTCCATCACACCAAAGCACAAACAGAAAACCTTGCTTTGAGCAAAATAGTACAGTACAACTCACGTTAGAGTTTCCTGGTTAAAGTACACTTTATTTTCAGTATGAGACAACAACAAAATTCACATGCAAGCCTCCCCATTTCTATGATGTTATACAAATAATGATTCTTTTGTTACAAAATATATAAATATTTAAGACAATATGTACAAGACATTTACAGTACTTCATCTATTATTAAAGTGTATTACTATATATACATTTAGCAGGTATTTTTTGTAATATCATTATAATTATTGTTTGCATTAGTATTATTATTGTTAATATCATTATTGTTAATATTACTATTTAATTATTCTTAACCATCTGTAAGTAAAACAAAGCATGTTGCAGAAAAGAAAACAGGACCATACCTGACGTTACTGTGCCTGAATGGCCAAGGAGCAGAGGCTGCCCGGCGCTCTGTCCTTGGTAAAGCATGGAGAGCTGGCTATGTAGAGCACAAGTTTCAATAGACTTTTATTTATTTATTTATTTATTTGTACAAGCTGATAACAGGGCTAGGAAGCCAACACTATATTCCAGCAGCATTTTGATTCCACAGAGGTAAACAATGACGTAGCTTGGAATCTAGCACATAGCTTTCACTATCCCAGCACAATTTCTTGTCGGTCCGCGTAGAAGAAGTCGGCTGCTCAGGGCTCGGTTCTCTGAGCTCGCAGAGCGCTGCAGCTTTACTTTCCGTTTCAGACTAAAGAAATTGTTCAGATTCTCTGTAACATGAATACACTCACAGACAGACACGCACGTACACCATGTTATATACCTTGACCACGGCATATTAAGCAGTCCAATTCATTAGTGCTTCCTGGTGCCATCGTTGAGTTGGTCTCAGTCACTGTAAACATTCTTGTTGTGTAAGCCAGCTGAGCTTCCTCTTATGATTAGATCATTCTGTGTAGGTGTACACAACCATAACCCAGTGTAGAGTTGTGTAAGCTCGCAAGCCCAAAGAAATTGGCTTTTTTATCCCTCAAACCCTGCCAAACACAGAAACACACACACACACCCTGAACACACTCTCAGCTGTCTTACTCTCACCTTCCCACTCATTCTGTTCCTCCTCTCAAGCACTTTCTTCTGTCTTCTTACCTTTCTAATTCCCTTCGCTCTTCTTCCCTTCCCTTCTCATTTCCTTGCTCTACATCTAGGAAATTATACAGTTTTTGCTCTTCCTCCTCTGGCGGCTGTGGAGCTGGCCATGAATCGGTCCGTGCAGAGGCCCGTGATGGGCCCCTATCCCAGACGGGCTGTAGCGGTGGCGCAGCTCCTCATTGTTGATGTAGCACAGCTGCACAGGCCGAGGGATTGGATCGCTCAGGTAATACCCCTCATCAGCCTCAGATTCAGAAGAAGAGGAGCAGCTGGAGCACCAGGGGTCAGCAGCCTCCATGTAGCCATCATTCCAGCATGGCCCACCCAGTCCTACTGGTTGCCAGCCAGCATTTTGCAGAGTAAGGTCAGAAGTGGTGCGCGGGCAAGGCCGGTGGGGCATCTGCCTGTGCCCGCCTGAGTCCACGCCATACAACTCCCGAGCAGCTTGACCAGAGGGGAAGCGGTCGTAATCCTCTTGTACGCGGCGATAGGGAAGCTCCACCATTTGACTCGGGCGGTCTGCCACTAGGTGCAAGGCATTGTCAGAGCGCGAGCGGCGGGAGCGTTTGTGATGGCGACCACTGCGGTGGTGACCATTACCGTTAGTCCCACGATGGTGTTTGTGGGGTCTCGGTTGTGGCTGCTGTTGCTGTGAAACGGACTCCTGGGCGTTTATGCGGCGGCGTGGCATCCTGTCACTCATGGGAGCCATCCGCAGGTTCCCACTGCTGCCCATTAACCCAACACGACCTTTGCCATCAAAGCCAATGTCTTGCGGGCCATCCCAGTACTGAAGTGGGTACCCGACTCTCAGGGGAGTGTACATGTTGTTGTTGTAAGGGCGAGAAGAGGAAAGCGACTCTGTACTGTGGAATTGGACCGATGAGCTGAGGGTACCCATGTTGCTCTTCTCCGACACATTTACGCCTGAGTCCTTACTCAGGTCAGGCATGGAGAACCTGGACAGATGCTCCTGGCGCTTGGTGGCCCCATCCAGAGAGTTACCTGTTAGGACAGGACATCAAACATCATATTTTCCAGTCACAATATGAAGATACATTTCAATACCAAAGAGCAATATAAAAAAGTTAATTTACTTAAGCGCAAAAGTGAAATTCATATATTGTGTCATCACATACAGAGTGACAAAGGTCAAGTATTTATTTCTGTCATTTTGATCAGATTATATGTTTTTAGTTGCTTATAAAATTATTATATTACATAAGACCAATGAAAATGCTTTTTTATATTACAAAAAATTTCAGGAAACTGAAAAGTATGTCCTTGTTCTTTAGAGGATATATTTTCAGTACTTGGTTGAGGCTCCTATTGAATCGATAAGTGTCGGTGCAGCATGGCACGGAGGCGATGAGCCTGTAACTCTGCTGAGGTGTTAAGCAACAACCTTTCCCCTAATCTGCATTATCTGGATACTGTGGCTCCCCACTGAACCTCCTGACTCTGACCAAATACAATGCTAAATTTACTTTAAACTTCAAATAGGACTTTGGACCACTGAGGGACAGTCCAGTCCTTTTTCTCCAAACCTCCGTAAGCTGTTTCTGACAAATGACAATGGCTTAAAACAAAGGAATGTAGATGACTCCAGACACAGTCCATGCCTTTTGAATCTCATCCAAACTCTTCAATAGGATTTATTTTGCAATCCTGCCAAAGCTGCAGTTATCTTATCTGCATTATATTCCACCGCTTGTTTTTCTTTCACAAAAGTTTCCATTATTTTTTGCTTTAATGTAGAGCACTGTATTTACAAGCTTCTCCTTTACCAGTTTTTACTTACCCTTATTATAGACGGATAATGATAAATCATTTTTTATTATTTTTATCTAATATTAACATTGTCAGAGAAACTCATTTCTAGGTGATTACTAGTTTTGAGCCATAAACACGTGAAATGTGCTTTTCTGATTGTGTAACAGAACTATGTGATAAGAGTTCACTTTTCAATTCAGCTAATTAAGCTGCATTTACAACAATGTTCTATTGAACTGTGACGCAACTACATGCGATTCATTACCTGCAGTATTGGACATAGTAAGTGAGTCCATGGATCCACGAGGCGTCTGTTCTAGTGGAGTAAGGGGCTCGTTGAAGCTCATGGCTGTGATGTGGTTTCTCCTTGTCAGCGGGGGTCTGCCGTCTCTCTGGAATCCATGAAGACTGGTACTCCTCTTGTCAGAGAAACCCTGATTCTGGCTGGACATCTCATTGAAGCTCATCTGGGTACGGAGCTTGTTGGGTCTGAACTCATCCTGGCTGTGATGGATCCAGTTCTCATTGAAGGAGTGGCCTCTCAGGGCAGCCATAGGGGTCCTCTTGGCATTGCCCTGCTCCTTCCCCCAGGAATCAGGCCTCTTGCCTGGGTTGGCAGGACTCTGGGCAGGTGGATGAGCGTTTGTGTTGGGATTGTATCCCTGCCTGGCATTACACTGACCCAGCAGGTGTATGGATGCAGGGGTTGGGGAGGGATCCCTTTTAGGGCCCTCGTATGAAGCTGGGATGTAGGGTTCGTCCCTGCTCATCCACACTTGGTTAAGGCTTGGGGCTCGGCTCGGAGTGCGGCTCGGTGTACGGTTAGGCGTCCTGCTCGGAGTCTGACTGGATGAAAGGCTTAGTCGGTCCATCGGAACAGAAAGGGGATCAATTTCAGCAGACAGGCGGTCGGGCATGGGTGGAGGAGCTGATTGGCGGGGCTCCGTGCTCCGGCGATCCTGCTCAGCATTCCTGCGCTCCTTCTTGCCGATCTTGGTGCTGTGGCGGGATTCTCGAGAGCGAGCGCTTTGGAAAGCAGAGTCAGAGGAGTCAGACTCCTCTGGATCCTGATGCATGGAAAGAAACCAGATTTGTTTGATTATAAAAATGCTTAAAGGAATGTATGAAATTGCAGCTGCTTTCAGTTTTTCATACCTGCCCAGCACTGCAGGACCGTGAGCAGAAGATCTGCCCCTGCTTTGGGAGGAATGGACGACCCAGCAGGGAACGCTTACAGCGAGCGCAGCAGAAACATTCCTCAGTGGCATGCCAGTGCTGCCCATCATATGTCATCTGGCCTTGGTCAATTCCTTTAATCACATAGGGAAAATAAAAATTAATCCTTTCGACCACATTCCAGAAATAAGCAGAACTACAATGCTGGTGAATGAGTATACCCAACGATTCCAATTTAACCAGCAGATTAACCTCTTCTTTCTTATTTTTATTTCCTGGAGTCAAACATTTGTGATTCTGTGCCCTTACATGATTGCTTGATTTCTAAGATAGCATGAATACATTTCACAAGCGCTGCTCTCAGACTGGAGGAAGTAATCATCCTTCACAGCTCCCATCTGGTTACAGTTTGGGGGCACTCTCTGAAACCCACTCCTTCACTGTTATCCGGGGATGATAATAACCATCCACATCTCACCGCACTGGATCCGCCTCTCTGCAGCTGTGACCCATGAGGCTCGGAGCTGATACCAGCCACACATACATTCATTATGAGGCTGTTTGAGCTGCTGTATTGCAGTGTGGAAAGTAAAACATGTCCGTGTGTTTTGTCAACTGTACGTGTTATTGCAGGTGCGCTGTACCTATGTGTTCTCCACAGGCGTCGCAGTACTCTGCATAAAGAGACTCGAAGCAGTTGCAGCAGTGTGGCCGTCCATCCTTCATGATGTAGCGCTGGCCCCCGAGGGTGGTCTCGCATTCGTAGCAGCAGAAGTGCTTCATGTGCCAGTGCCTTCCCTCTGCCTCAGTGCATTCATCGGCAAAGATTAGCTGTGTGGTTCAGATATTACAATAGTCAGCAAACACATGCGGTAAGAACACTAAAAAAAAAAAAAAAAAACTTGGTCAGAACAGATGCTAATATTTCCTCAAATCCCATTGAGAGCGAGGCCCATGTTTGGGGTAATCTAGGATTTAACCAACAGGCTGTTGTTTTTGTTCGGTACTTTTTCTGTGAAGCCACTTCTAAGTATTCGTTTTACTCTTTGTCACACTAATATGTTTCGGACCATCAAACAAACAAAGGTAACTTGTGGAAATAGAAAACACAGGATTAGGTTTTAGGCTAACAAGTCACACATTTCCATGTTCCATGTTTAAATTATGGTATGCGGAAGTACACCTCTCTAGGCTGCAAAAAGCTCAATTAAGAGAAATATTTTCTCTATGTATTTTTCAGGCACATAGTTTCATTTTCATAGCTAATCTGGAGGAGCTGAGTGGGGAAGGCACAAGGGATGGATGCTCTGTGAGGAGGAAACTTGACTGCAGCTTCAAGTGTGCAGTCTCCACCTATTTGTGGAAATAGGTTGTGCACATCAACAACTTATCCAGAAGGCCACTAAGAACCCAAAACATCGAAAGCACTGCAGACTTTATTTTGCTCATTTAAGAGTCAGCATTCACCATTAAACAATTAGAAATAAACTGGGCAAATTTGCATTCTTGGGAGATTTCCAAGGAGATATATGTATGTGTGTGTGTGTGTGTGTGTGTGTGTATGTGTGTGTGTGTGTGTGTGTGTGTGTGTGTGTGTGTGTATAAAACTCAGCTGAACAAAAAGGAGATGAGGGCCTTTCTCAGATTTGTGAAATAAATGTCTTATGCTTTCTTTATTTGATATGAAAATTTGTGTGATTATCTGAAACATTTCAGTGTAATAAAAAAAAATGTGTGAGGGACAAGTACGTTGTACAATAATTTCTTGTCGTATCCTACATTTTTTTCTGCGTTTTTCTTTTCTGAGGGTTTAAGAAAAGCAACTCATACACACTTGAACACTTCTGATGTAAGAAGAATAAGTCGCGGCGATCAGATGTATTTTAACAGGATTTTTTTTTTTTGATGAAGAAAATGACATACCATCTGTGGGTGGGACTGTTAAAAAACAGGGATCCTGTCTGTTCTGAAAAATGATGATGACTAATATCATTCAGTCAGAGTGAAAAAGAGAATTAACAAGGTCAAGAAGTTTAAAGAGCTAAGAAGCATAAAGGCCTGTTGTGTGTTGTGTCTTGTGCTCACTGCAACCGAATCAATGGCCAGATGGTCTACTCTATGAAGACTGAGAATGCCCATCTGCTCATGTATATATGTATAAGAAAAATAGCAGGCAAAACCATATACATCAACTGCACTTGTATTACTCTTCATCTAAAATGCTCAGATTTGATATGTTACCTTGCAAATGTATTCACACCCCTTGAATTTCTGAGTATTTTATTGACCAGTGGCTCCCAACCCTGGTTTTTAAACCCTCCAATTCTACATGTTGTAGATGTCTCCTTTCCATCTTCTGCAGAGAAGGTCATGGCTGCATGACTTTCTCTGCATGGTATTTAATGCTGCTAATGCCCGTTAATCACCCAGTTAATTCAGTCAGGTCTGTAGCCTCAGTGTTAGGGGGAATGAGGACCAGGGTTGGGAACCGCTGGTGTAGACCAACACAAGGTAGCACAAATGATAATTTATCATTTCTTTTTATGTACAAAAGAAAGATGGTATGCATCTCTACATTTTGGTACCCCTAAATAAAATCAACCAAATATCAATTATATTTTTATTATAAATAGTTCATATGACTGTAGTTAATAAGTATGATAAACTCAGCTGTTCTTTATAGGCTTCAGATTGTTAGAGAACTTAAGCAAATAACACCAAAAAGACCAAAGAGCACTTTAGATAGTTGTAAAACTCTATATGAGGTCAGGAGGGAGCTGAAGTACTTGGAAAGAACCCACTAATGCAGAGGGTACAACGTGCAAAATCCACTCAGAAAGACCCCAGGCCAGGATTTAACCAGAGTCCTTCTTGCTGCATCACCACACCACTCAACTGTAGCCTGCTTTCTGTCCTACAGATTTTTTTTAAACGACATATTTGAAAACAAATCTTTGCTATGAAAACTACAAATGCTGGCCTCTTAAAAGATCATCTGGGTCACAATATGTTCAGGTAATTAACCCAAGAGGACTTCACCAGACTTTGGCGAGGGGAAACGACATCCCTTGCATATTTAACAGAGCAACAGAGCCTTCTTTTCTCTGTAAACTGGTTCAAAACCTTTTAGATTCTGTGTTGTTTAGGCTTTCCAACCCCAAAGGGCTTCAGGCCCAGACAGGCGCACCTCATCACAGGCACAGCAGCGGGGTTTCAGCCTCTCAGAGTGGTGTCGGCCGCAGTAGATCTTCCCATCCTGAAGGAAGTAGATGAGATCCACCAGCAGCTCCTCACATGTGCAGCAGACGAAGCAACCAGGGTGCCAACATTTTCCATGTCCCGCCCTGGCAGCAAAAACTACAATTTCCCCTCCATTTATCTGACCTCCGCACTGATGGCGAGGAAGAGGATGAAGAGAGTGGAACAGGTAGAAAAAAGAGGGAGATGGTAAGAGAAGGAAAAGAGTAATCAGGAAGTTGTCTCAAAAATACATATGTAGGTAAAAAAAATAATGAAAGTCCTATGACTTTTTTTTTATTTAATCTAAAAGTCAAAATGAAGAGGAGTTCCTCTGTTTACCTTCTCACAGACCATCCCGGTCACGGTGAGGGGGAATGGACGGACGTTCCCTCTGCCTAAGTTGTCTTTTTTCCGCTGGTTGCTGAAGATCTTAAGCTCTCGTTTCTCTTCCTCGTCCAGTGCGTTGCAGTAACGTACCTGAAACATCACAGCTCATCATCACCATCGGGCGACATAAAAACTACAAATAGCAGACATCTTCAACGTTCAAACATTAAAACAGAAAATCTGTCATTTCATGGCTAAAAGTGTATTTCACCTCATTGTCATGTGGGGGCAACTGGTGAAGCAGCTGCTTGATGCGATATTTCTCTCCTGGGCTGTTTATGTATGGTACTTTCTCCTCTGGTAAAGAATTATAATACTGGTGCACCTAAAACAGACAAAGCAAAAACATTTAAATTCCCAATTTCTGGAAGACAAGATTAATATCTATTATTTTTAACCATTTTGTAAGATGTCTGACCACTGAAACAAAGCACATGTTTATATTTGGTACATTATCCTTGGACCTCCAATGAAGTCAGACTCAGAGTTATCCTCCTTTCCTCTGTACTTGATTATCTCTCACATCATAAGTTATATATTAGCTAGGAGGCTCATGGATAACAGAGGAGAAGAACTGAGCTGCAGGACAGAGACAGAACTGTAACTGATGGACACTCCATAGTGGCCAATTTACATAAATTTCTAATGCAGTGTAAATTTTAAGTATTTCAAATCATAATAGGTATAGCAGAAAGAGCCTTAATGACAACTAATCTTAGCATATAATGGTATGCAAAAGGATCTGGAACTTTTTTTCCATTTTCCCACATTAATAGCATGAACTTCAATGTATTTTAATGGGACTTTATCTGGCAGACTAACACAGCGGTACATTATTCTGAAGGGGAAGAATGAATTGTCTCAAAGTTAAGGCAGTTTTAGAAACAGTGTAGGCAATATTGTCAAGTTATAATAATTTTCTTCAGCAGAAACAGGGAAGCTGGTCAGACTTGATAGGAAGATGGGTGGAGGTAAAAACAAAACAATCCTGGATGGAAACCTGTTAGCTGCTGCAAATAACTTGAGGCTGGGATGAGGGTTCACCTTTCAGAGCAGAACAACAATGGGATAGTTCATATATATGTCAACGTACTGGCTGAGGTCTAATTGAGAATTTGTAGCAAAACTTAAAATTGAGCTATTTAGTAGAAAAGAAGAAAATGTAAAACAAATAACAGTTTCTATATGCTTTTACAATGTATTTTCTAAATGTTAAACACAAATAAATTGTATTTATGGAAAATAAAATCCTTTTCCTCCTCCTTCACAATTATCTACCACTTATCAATGGTCTATCATGCAAACCCTCTACAAAGGACATTAAAGTTCAAGGGCACTGAATATGTTGTGTGCAGTTCCATTGCTTTGAATTGAATGCAAAGTAGTTTACATGTTCTGCTTTATTTCATTAATTCATGCAACAAACTCATTTACATTAATCTGAAATTACATTTAAATGAATTTAGTGTGCCCTTCATGCCAACAGGACCCGTTTATGTTTCTCCCTCAATAACTGTTATCCTTGGAGGTCAGCGTCTCGAGTTAAAAGTGATTGCACAATGAGCTCTGTGCTCCTGCAGCTGCAGACTCACCCTAGAACAGAATGAGCTTCTTTAAACTTTTAACAGCTAATATTCACGTTGCTTAAAAGAAATCTCAGCGTACCCATACCCTCAGCATATCCACTGCAGTTCGAATTCATCATGCAGCAGCACTCAGTGTCCTTGTCCTGAACCTCCCCTTGTATTTGCATGTTAGTTGGTGAAATAAAGAAAACGCTGATTGGTACTCAAGAGGTAAACACTTTTGGGATGGAAAGCAATCTTGTCGCTTGTCTGATTTTAGGCAAACTGGCCACCGAATCAAAATTGTTTGTGCTCAGTCAAGTTTTTCAGATTAAGTTTACATAATCACTGGGGTGGAAAATTACTGTAAAAGGAAGGTGCCTTTCTTTCCCCTGCAAGGAGCAAAAGGCACTATACTATACTATACTATACTATACTATACTATACTATACTATACTATACTATACTATACTATACTATGCTATACTGTGCTATACTATGCTATGCTATACTGTACTATGCCACACTACACTATACTGTGCTGCAACATGCCACACTATACTATGCTATACCATAACATACTATAGTATAGTATACTATACTATGCTGTGCCACATTATACCACACCCCACCACACTACACTATACTACACCATACTATGCTCCGCTATACTATACTATGCTATACTATACTATGCTATACCATGTTATGCTGTGATGTTCTATGCTATGCTATGCTATACTGTACCGTACCATTCTGTACTGTACCACACTACACCACACCATGCTATGCTATACTGTACCATGCTGTGCTATACTGTGCCATACTGTGCCATACTATACTATGTTATGCTATACTATACTGTGCTGCGCCATGCTATGCTTCACTGTGCTATACTATACTATACTATACTATACTATACTATACTATACTATACTATACTATACTATACTATACTGTACGATGCTATGCTGTGCTATACTATGCTATGCTGTACTATATGGTACTATGCAATGATGAAAAAGTAAGGTTTAAGAAGTAATGATTTCTTTTTCTCCTGCATAACCTCCATTCTCATTCTGGAGAACAGGTGATACACATACATAACTAAATTAAATCTTTCTTTTGTGCATCATTTAGTGATTAGTTTCATAAATAATTTATCATTGTAAAAATGCCTCATGCATTTTTCTTGGCAAAATCAATTCTAAATTAACTTAATTTATTCTCCAAGCAGTGCATGATTGATCTTCCTAATTTAATGTTTACACATAATGCTATAGTAATAATGAATAGTGTTCATTTCAGTTTTGATCTGTTTGCTTGTGACACTCAGAAACTAATTTGATTTAATGCACTAATACATGGATCAGGAAAAATTCATTATTTTTGTGTTAGAACAAACTTTCAGAAGATCTGCTATTTTTTTTCCTCTGGATTAATCATCAAATCTTAGCTGAATGATTCGAAAATGAATCAAATCATCTTCAAGTCCTGAAAATGATTTGTAGATGTTTTTTGAGGTAAAAACAAGAAATATAAGAATCTCTTTTATTATTAAAAATCCCAGGTTGACCTTTCACCTGCACTAACTGCTTTATTCCAGGTCATTTAAGGCTGACTTTAAAGTGTTGGTCAAAATATGATTTTTTTTTTTAATATTATCTTAAAACTTAGAAGGTTTTGAAATACTGTATCAGTTACAATATTAAAAATTAAAATTTAAAATCTGAGAATACATACTCAATATTGAGGTATTTTTTGACAACAGTTAATGATTGTTGACTTTTGTTTTAGAATAAAATACTGTAGTTAGCACAACATAGTTCTCCAATTTATTGACTTTGCACCAAGATGTTGCGCTATACATTATCCCAACTTGACTCCTGATTGGCTACTCAGCTCTTCCTGATGTCTACTCATCCAAAAGCAAGTGTGTTCTGACTCTGTCAGAGAAAAAAATAATCCACCAATGAGCCTTTCTTTGGATTTCATGCTGCACAGTGTGTGACTACTTTGGTGCGTGCAAACCACTTCCCCTGCACCCACCTCAGACGTGTGTGCCACGTCACTCAGTGCTTTTATTTAGGAGCAATCCTGATGCTAAAATGAGGAAGCACTAAGACATCCAATGACCTGGATAAGAACTAATCTGTGAGTCACAAAGTGAATCAACAGCTGTTATAAAGCTGACCTGAGAGCAAATCCGGTCTGTTCTTTGACTGAAAAACCAATGCTGGTCATGGAAGACCCGAACACAAGCAGGATGAAGGCAACATCATGTTCAAAAAACTTTCTTAAAATGAAAAGGTGAAGCTTACACACAGTGGAAATATAAGGGATCAAGAACATAGCAGGGAGGACAAAAGGATGTATAGCAAACCAAACTAGGAAGTAATTAAACTGTGGCAGTGGTTTCTGGACGAAAATCAGAAAGAAATTAATAAAAGACTGCAGCTATGGATCATCAGAGCATAGATCTCGAGGAACTTGAACTGAACGTATCTATAGTAGAATAGTAAGTCAGAAAAAATGTTTTTATGCCTTCCGTTTAATGAAATCACTAGTTAACAGATTTTAGTATGGTTATAATAAATTTCATAATAAAATTGCTTGCTGAAGAGAAACACTAGCTTCCTGCTACTCTAATAGACTGATGGATGGATGGATGGATGGATGGATGGATGGATGGATGGATGGATGGATGGATGGATGGATGGATGGATGGATTCTTTACTACTTCCTGTAGAATTTTTTATAACTTTTGTTGAATCATTATTATTCTTAATTTAAATAAATAAATCTTAAGCCTGAAAACTACACAAAACTGTTCTATAAAAAATAAAACAACCCCTGATTCTTCTTTAAATGTTTGATAAATATCACTTAACGCAAAGGTCAAGAAACAATCTTAAGATGGATTGATATTAGAGACTGCCAATTTGATAGATTTTTGACGGACTGTGAGACAACAAAGATTGCTTTATGAACCTTAATAAACCTAAGTCATCTCACGCAAGCTACTGTGTCTTTTAGTAATCAAATTATCATTAACCTAAAAGTTATGCTTGAGCAAAAGTCCAAAGTTGGGAAACAAAATCTTTTAGAAAGACAATTGGAACACAGCTGAATCCTAATGATAGATTCAGTGTAGACAAATTTGGAGATTTTGATTCCTGACAGCTCAATGAGCCTTAACACATGATTATTTCCTTTTTTAATGGCATTGTATGGAGAGACACCAGAAGTGACAGGCTTAAAAATCATTACATTCAAGTGCATTAAAAGAGAAACAGGCAGCTTCAATTGCCTCCACCTCCTGCTGGATGACAGAGGCTGCAGCCTCTTTCAGCATCCTGTCAAGATGGCTGACTAGAGAAAATCACTGTTATCAGGCTTCCTGTCATCTGTTAACAGAGCCCTAGGTGGCCTGTTGTATTAGTGTCTTTCTCTTATGGAACAAAGACAACATGGTTTGTAGCTGAAACTGTTGAAGAAATGTATGCATGTTAATGTCACACAAAGCAAAAACTACAGACAAACTAAAGAGAAAAATAAAAACAAACTAAAGATGTAGAGATGGTTTCTACTAATTCAATTACCTTGGTTAGGCATGGCATTAAAAGGCTGTTAAGATGCAAATAGATACAAACAGGGAGCTGTAGTGTCTGCAAGCTCAGATAAACTAAATTGAATTTCCAATAAGATTCAAACCAACATTCACTGACTCCGATTACTTTAATTTCACTAAAATAAAGGACAGACTGAGCTCCGGCTAGCAAAAGCATAATTAAAATTTACCCACTAATGAAACGTCACTACTTGTTTCATTCCTACAGCCATGTTCAGACAATAAAATTGATCAGAGCTGGAAAAAGTTGATTGGATCTCACATAATCAGGGGATAATGGATAAATGGACAGACGGATGGATGGATGGATGGATGGATGGATGGATGGATGGATGGATGGATGGATGGATGGATGGACGGACGGACGGACGGACGGACGGATGGACGGACGGATGGATGGATGGATGGATGGATGGATGGATGGATGGACAGGTTGATAAAAGTCCTCAAAGCATGATGCCTGATCAGTACAGTTTTACATTGAACTGTGACTTCAATTCAGTTTGTGCCCCTCAACCTAGAATTATTATTATTAATAATTACTTACTTGTGATTTCTTATTCTTAGTTTAAGTAATGTTTTAAGATGATGTTGAAGGGAGCTTGTGGAGTACACATTTCATTGCCAGATTTTCTTTTTCTGAGCATATGACAATATAGTTATTTCTATGTTTAGCTATTTCTCCCTTGGCCACAGAGTGTGTTCTTTGACAATCTGGAACATCTTGAGGAAGTGATTTTTCCAACAATGGAACTTTGCGGGCACTTATTGCAGATCGCTTGGCTTCTCAAAGAGGTGCCTATATTATAGAACTCGCAAAGGACCTTTTTTGACCATTACAGAGTTTTTGCCATTTCAGGCTATCCTTTGATCCATTGTAGTGCTTTTCCATTTTCCTCCACCTCTTTCTGGTTTTGGTTTCCATTATAAAACCTTGTAGATCATTTTCACTGAGCTGCCTATCATTTCCCATTCTTCAATATATTTTTTAATCAAAGTTCGCTGTTCTTAACAATGTGTGAAATGGCCCATTTTATCCACATTTTTCCCTTCAGACTATCATTCTGTCTGGCACTACATTTTCCTACATATACGTTTAGTTTTTAACTTGTTAGCTGAAAAATGTCCCTTCAAGTATTTTTCAATAAAATGTCTGATATTTCAGTCCTAGTAATTGAACATCCCGCCCCATTCTCTTCCTCCTATTATAACCTAAAGGAAATAATACACACAAGGTGAAATAAAACAACCAGGATGTGCTTTTTTCTCTTTTGGTCAAACAATCCTGTTTACAGCTTCAGATTGTGAGGAAAGTGTTGCAAATTAGATAAACCAGATGAATAAGTAATTTCCATTGCTTTGACTTATTTTATATGGTCTGCGTGGTCAGAATGAAAAACAGCAACAACTCATGAAGCACCAAGCGTAAAATGCAGCTTGAATATCATGGAGCTCATACCTGCTCAGGGTTGAGGCCGGGGGGAACCCAAGCGTACTCTTCCAGAGCACAACCGGAGTCATCGTCGGAGGTGGAGTTCCTCTGGAAGTCATACATCAGCTTGGTGATGGTCTTTTCCATCTCCAGAGACATGGCTGTCACAACATGCTCTTCCACACACAACCGTTTAGTGGACACAGGTATTCCTGTGGAGGCAATAGACAGGAGCGTGTCACTCAAAAATTACAAAATAAATGCACCAGTGTGAGAAATTAGGTGGAAGACCTAAAACGTTTCTGCACTCCTCTCACCGTCGAAGCTATGGTGACAGATATTGTCATGACTGGTCTTATTTGTGCCTCATTGCTTCGTCTATTCTCCTGTCTGCAATCACGTAGGTCCTTCACCGTCTAATCTCAGAACATAAATTACTCCTGAAGGAGGATCAGGAAGAGAGGACACCAGCTCACAAAGACTCCAACAGCTCCTTGGGAAACCCTTTTCATCATGTAAAACTGGCATTTTACCGTATTAAAAAGAAAAAAAAAATCATTTACATGAGCTGTTTTAAAGTGATAGCTCTAAAATGTTTCCTTTCAGAAAAAAAGGCTCCTAACTTCACTTCTCTCGTCATTTGTGACTGACTTTATCTCTTCTGCTAGTATCTGTGGTGGTAGGGACATAATTATGAAACGTAAAGTTGAAAATTTCCTACATTTATTAGGAAATAACTTCATTTAGTTTAGGCATATTTTTTCTAATGTTTCCTTTTGTTTGGTTTTTCATCGAAAGTATTTACATCCCTTTAACTCTTTCCTGTAATGTAACAATTTCATATGTTTACGTCTAATTTAAGGGTTTTATGCTACAAACAAAAGCAAAAGTCATAACTATGAAATGAAAAGCTGGAAAGATGTATTTGTATTCTGACCCCTGGTTGTTTATAGTATATTTCTACAAACTTTGCATACAAAAAACTGAGAGGTTATTTGATTCATCTTTGCATTTCTGAACAGTAATTTATAAGTCTCGCAACATATTGTTGTATTTAACTCTGAACTCTGAGTTATTTCAAACAAATAAATATGCTGCGATCTAAGCCATCACGTAGCTCTGGTTGTTTGCTTAGAGTCTTTCTCCGACTTGAAGGTGAACCTTTATCCCAGTCTCATGTCTTGTTTAACATCTATTAGTTTCTCTTCTATTATTACGCTGCGTCTAGCTCCTTCTATCTATCTATCCATCAGCTCTGACCGGTCCTCCTGTCTGTGCCGAAGCATCAGCACAATGTTATTTTTCCCGTCCATGTTTCATGGGTGAAAAAGCGTGTTCAGGATGAGTTGCTGGATTAATTTTCTAAAATAAAAACAAATAAAGGTTCTGGCAATTCGCGGACAGAACTTTTTTCAACAGAGGCATTTTTTCTTGTCACTCTTATACAAACGCCAGATTTGGGGACTGTAATGCTGTGATAATTGATTTTTGGTTTTTAAGTAAACAAAAGGCTTAAGATGTTGCAGACTGTGGTAAAAATACACTTCTATGTGGAAAAGGATCAAATGAAAAAAGCCTTGTCATTCACTATGCCATTTCTGCCTCCCTCACTAAATGTGGACAATCTGTGATTCCGTGGCAACATGAAACATTCTGATTGTGTTATAGCCTGTAAGTCGGCTTCAGTTGGTGCCATAATTAACCTGCAGACATAATATATTCAGCGAGAATGAATATATGGATATCATCAGGAAAAGAATCATTGGAAAGGTTGCAGATTTCTTTTTCTCAGCTGAAACAGATTAGGTGTTCACCATGTGTTACCATAGTGATCGCTTAAGATTCAAAGAAATACACCTTTTCAGCTCAAAGCCCTTTAGGTTGAAAATTTACCTTAAAAATGCTTCTCTCTGCACCCTTGAGATCAGAATCACAATGGCAGGTCCCAGATAAAAACACATGCAGTCAAAAAGGGCATGATTCAATCTGGATTCTTATTTGGAAATATATTTTAAGCTTTCCAACACAGATAAGGAGTAACATCTCCCTGGTTTCCATTGAGTTCCCACAAAAAAAGGCGCATATCACCCCAAAATATAACCCTAAAACTTGCAGAGCAATCTAATTTATCTTTAGATGATCAGTTTGCTTTTCTCCTCCTCCTTCTTTCTGTCTGAGAGGAGAACAGATGCACACATTACTGACTTATGAATAATTAACAGGAATAGGCATCGCCTCCACCACCAAAGTATGAAAACGACATGCAAGTCATTTTCCAGGCAGCAGGAATATTTAGCGAACCAAGATCGAACACGAGATTGAGTCGTGTTTACATCCTGTTGGTTGTTAATTTAATAGCCGCTGAGTGGATAGGTATTAGAAGATCATTGGAATGAAAACGTAGCATCATCAGAATTATATATGACTTAACATTTGAAAGAGATCGTTTAACTTCAGGTTGTTGGATATCATCAGAGAGCGCGATCAGGCATGTCAGTGCAGAAAACACAGCAGCAGACGAGGCCTTTGTTATGTCTGCAGGTCACGTATCGAGGTCTTTGCAGTTCACTGACTGAAACAACAGCAGATGATGGCAGGTGAGAAACTGTGAACAGGGCCTGACATCCGCGAATCAAAAGGATTTCTCTCGAAACAAGCAGACGGCTCTTCTCTGTTATAGTTTCAGGCAATAATACTATTTCCTAAAGATTAGAAATCAGAGTGGGGGCTTCGGGGGGAGCGGCTTAAGCTGTGGCCAAGAAACAGAAGACATCTGAACAGACTGAGCCAGTGAGTCAGCCTCTATCCCAGCAGATCTAGATTTTCTTTATTTCTCTAAGATGAGGGTTGCTGATTTCTTTGTGAAGACGGATCGCAGGGGAGTAACCTTGAGCGTCTAGCCTGGCCTGAGGCTCTTTGTCATTAGTGCACAGAGACTGAGTGAGTAGACATCAGTTCAAACATGACTTACTGTGATGGCAAGGAATGAGATCAGGGGTACAATACTGGAAAGCCTGAAATCAAGTACTAATTACACTCTGGCACTGACAATATCAGGGTGAAAATGGCATTTGTTTTGCATCATGGTGTGCTTCTGAGGCCAACAGATTCTCAGCCCCTTTTCTCTTAATCTCTATCACAAGCTCATCTAGCTTGAAGTTACTAGAAGCAACTTCTAGTAACTTCTAGAAGCTACTATAACGATCTTTCACCTAATGTATTATCTGAGCTCTTAGAAATTATATTTATCTACATTTATTGTATCATTTATCACTACCAGAAAACAAAGAACTATCCTTGGAAAATAATAAACTCTAACAAAAACCGATAGTACAAATGGGATTGTTAAATTGGAAGTTCAAACTAATTTTCCTTTATAACTTCTTGCTTCCTGTTAAGAAAAGGTTGTTTCTTTCCACTGTCTCCACATGCTTTCTAGGGAAGAAGGTTACTGCACAGTAAAATATCTCATTCAATCTACTGTGCTTCTTTGATTATTATAATTTCAAGAAAATTGCAGTTAAATATAAGTTTGACCGCACTGAAGTAGGACTGAATTAAATTAAACATAACAGAATTTAGATCTATCTTAGTTGTATTGGTTACATCTGATTATATGCTTGTTGAAATGGAAGAATTAATGGATGGGTAGATTGATAAATCACAGCTAATAAATACCCACAATTCTGTTTCTGGAAACATTGCGTAACTACAAACAATTGTTAATGGAGAAATGGTTGGTTATGGCCAACATGATCATGGAGAAAATGCTGACATTCAACAGACAGTGACTGTAGGCTTAGCAAAAACTGGTTGTTGATGGAGTATACATCCCCAAACCTATTAATGGAATGTTATATGAAAGGGGAAAAAAAGTGGTAGGAAATATGTTGCTTTGAAGGAATTGTGAAGCAAGGTTTATTTAGTATTTTGGGTGAGATTTTAATATTTATTTACAGAGGAACTCAGCTGGGTTGTGAAGCTACAGCTAAGATCTCACAATTGTGCTTTGAACTTCAGAAATGATCTTCTCACTCTAACTTCAAGTCACAAAGACAGTTTTTAGCATACACTGTCCAAGCCAACAAAAGTCTGTAATAATAAAAAGATGAGTTATACTTTGTGACAGTAGTGTGCCGCCAGCAAAACACTTTAATGCTTCCATTAATCTGGATTTAATGAAACTCCAAACAAAATCCAAGTGTAGGGAGGTTAATGGATTGAAATGAATGCAATGTTCATCCTGTTTCTCTGTTGCATAGCCATAGCAAATTCACAGAGAAGGCTGTGGCATGTTCTCTGCAAACACTTTGAGGAGATGACAACATCACTGTTTGCACCAGTGCTCAGATTAATGGTCCCCTTGCACTCCGCCTATTAAGATGTACTGTAAGTCTCCGCTGTGCATTGTTAAACAGAGACAGCTTCCGTGCCCGGCAGCTCCAAAGCAACGTGTCATCCTCACACTCAAACTTTTGACTGAACAGTCACATTGTACAGAAGGCCGCTGATGAGTGTGACTTTTTGACGTAATACACACTCGCAAGCACGACCGGTTTGTCACAAACACACTCCTCTGTTCTTACCCAGCAACTCACGCAGGGGGAGGCAAGTTGTGAAGTTCTACTTCCTGGAGGGGGCTAATTTTGGGACATTTTTTTTTTTTGACAGATGGATTATAACACTGAGGGGAAAAGAACAATATTGCACTTGTAAAGGTTTATTTACGGTGTTGCTCATGGAGTTGGAGTGAGATGTTGTTTGGTTTCCTGTTTGCTTTAGTTCGGTGTATGAAAGTAACTACAGTTTTATATTTCAGGGGGAAAAAAAGGTTTATACAGAAACTGACAAAGCTGGACAGCATCCAGTGATTTCATGACTTAGTACAGTTTTACATTAGCTCACACAAGTTAATAAAATCACTTTATGAGATCTAATGAAATGGAAAGCTTTAGACTTTAGGGTTTTCAATTGAGTCACCTTTTGCAGGATTCTGTTACTTTTCTTGGACTTTCTCCCTTTGTTGCTTCTACAGCAGGAACTAAAAGCAAATCAGATAACTAGGGTTGAAAAGTTACCCCAGAGGCTTCCCCACTAGGGGAGGAGTACTTTCTAGGAGAATCCTGAACCAAGGCTGAAGTTCTGTGATGGAAGGTTGTTGATTTTTTTTTTTCTTGTTGAATATTCCTAATATTTTTGATTCATCCACCTC